CATGATGTAAATGACCATGATGCCTTGAAAACGAGTTTGTGCTTGAATGAAATCATCAAAATCACCCCACTAGTGTTGAATTGCATAGTTCTTCACAATGAGCTTGAATGTTTTGACTGACTTGATATGCTTTGAATGAGCAAACTCTTTTAGCAACATTCTCTTTTGTGAGGATAGTGTAACGACTTTTGGTGAAGTAGTTAGGTGGAGAACATTGACCATTCGATATGTTTGGATACCGTGCTTACTTGCATCAATTGTGAGCTTTTGATTTTGCAATGAGTCTCTCTGTTTTGAATGTTTTATGATGGGGTGAACTGTATCTTCATAAAAGAAAACACTACCTGACAAGTAAAAGATAAGAAAGTTGCCATAACAATTAAAGTGTGGGTAAAAATGCCAAAATCGTGTGAGGCAATCACTCATTGCACATGGGGATGAGGAAAGATTCAATTGAGAATCGATTCGCGACCGTACGATGTTGCTTATCAAGTACGATCCCCAGTTGAGTGAAGTGTCATTTGAGGGTGCAATGACCCTCCACACGGACCGAGGAAAAGGAGTTAAAAGAAGCCCTTATGCGAGTGCTAAGAAGTAGAAATTGCTCTTGCTCGGTCACTGGTAGTAAGAAACAAATCCCACTTGTACTAAATACGACCTCTCGGCAAGCAAAAGCAGAAAGAGAGAAAGCCTCTCCTTGTCATAAAAGGTAGTGATGTGCTTAAAGTTAAAATCATGTTTGCGAAAGGCTTCCCCCATTAGTTTTTGAGACTCATGCTTAATTAATTGCTTATTATTGGTGTGAGTAAGCCAGATTGTCCTCACGAGATATGCACCTCACTGATGTGGTTAGAGTCTTCTAATAATTGCTGCACCATGAGTTGTTAATCACCCGCTACCGACGATCGAAATTGAGTGTTGCTAATTGAGTTTTTGGTGGATTTGAGTCAGTCAATGGTAATGGTTGCAAAGAACTTGAGTGTGGGGTGAAAGGTATGATTATTAAAGCACAACTTGTCCTTTGAGAAAGAAACTACTGATTACAACAAGAGTACACGGAAATTTTGTGTTGAGTGTTTGATTAGTGAGTCTGTGGTGTGTCATTGTTATGGTTAGTTATGTGTTTGTGTCTTTTGAGTCGTTGCTTAGGGACAAGCAACAATTGAGTGTGGGGTTTTGATATTCGGCTTGAATATATCGGATTCTTGAACTTTATGTGACTATCCTATGATCTGTTTAAGCCGATTGGTGCTATTTTAAGGCTCGCTAACCCGAGAATGGTTGAAAAACCATTACTGCCTAGTGCCATGAGTTTGATATGATACAGGTGGAGAAAGCACGAAAAAGGAGCGAGTGCACAAGTAATAAATCGGGCTCGAATTACTGGTGGACTACTCACTTGGGCTTAAGGCCCAGAGGAATTGGACTTGGCTTGAGGAGGAGATTATGGGCCGGAGAATTAAAAACAAAGAGGGAAGGATCTGGACAAAGGTTTTTTGGAGCGGACGTGGAAAATTCTTGGACTGGTGAATTTTGGGCGGATTGGGCTTTTGTGAAGTGGACACGAAATTGCTGGGCGGAAACAAGAATTGCAAAAGGGGACACGGAATTGGATTGAGAAAAGAAAGAGACAAAAAAATCTCTTTGGAGGGCAACTTTTGGTTTTCAGCAAAAAGAGGCGAAGCAATTAATCTTGGGGAGGAATTCTCTTGGCGGCGGGGAATAGAAAAAGTAGGCGCAGCGGAGAGGCAAATTGGATTGGCGGCGATTTTCTTGAATAGAGAGCAGAGGGCGCAGCGCGCAGCTTGGGACGCAACCGGGCGATTCTCAATTGGCGATTGAGATTTCCAAGGTTACCTGAGCTGAGTTCAACGAGAGCGATTAGTTGGTTGGATTTTCTGAACCAAATTAGTTGTTATTTGTTGATTTAGAACATGATGACCAAAACCCTATCGATTTATCTCAATTTCGTCATGAACTAAACCCCGATTTCTGGGGGAAACACCATAGGATGTAGCTATTTCATGATTTGATGGATTGATTTATGATTCTTTTCTTCCAATCTCTATTGCATGAAATTACTTAATGCTTTGTGTTGACTGGCCACCAATACAACGATTTGTAGTTAATTAGGTTATTAGCGACAGTGAAACCCTAATAACTGAACCTATTTCATGTGACATAGTAACTTATCGAAGCGACAGTGGATTAAATAAGGTGTTATGCGGTCTTAAATAGGATATCGGTCTTCAGACTAAATAATTAACTCATTGAGCTACGACAGTAGGATTTGAATTGATTATTTAGTACGTAGTAATTCCCGACAGGGATAGCTAGCACAGTAGTGATATCCTGGCTGTAGAGATATGGATTAAATTGATTGGAATATGTGAATTAATCTGGATAGGATAGGTAGTTAATCCCGGTGTTTCTCCCAGAGCTTTCTCCCATTGATTTAAACCCGACACTTTAATTTGTTTGTTTAATTACTTTGCTAGTAGATCATAGTTTCACCTCATTAAACATTTTCACATATAGTTTGATCAATAAAAATTGATAGAACTTAAGGTTGTACCCGTCCCTGAGAGACGATACCCGGACTTTCCGGTTTACTACGAGATAGGAAATCGGCATATACGCTTTTGCCCTATCAGAGGCAGAGTTGTCTTCACCTTCGTTATTATCTTCATCGTTATTATCTTCAGGCGCTTGGTCCTCCACTGGGCGCCCTTCGACCGACCTTTTCTCGAGCTAGGCGCCACCTTGGCTGCCACTCCCATTTTTGCAAATTGGCTCTTCATAAGAGTAGCCATGGAAGTAAAATCCGCACCTGCACAAGAACGCATGGCAACGAAGGTGTTAGAGTAAAAAAAAAAACGCGTTGTAGGCGCCCACCATCGCGGTAATACTCGTGCAGAATAGGCGTCCTGGACGCAGTAGAGCTTAAGTCCACAGGGTGCAAGGATAGAAGGCGGGCGCCCTCAATTTCCTCGTCCGTTGTCAAGGGCGCCTCAACGTTAAATGCCTCTGCGTCGCCAACTGCCCAACCGCGAGTGAATGAACGTCCACTCTCATAAAAGGATGCTTTGCGCGGCTTAATGAAAAAAAAGGCTCTAAACCATTCCCGGCCTAATTTTGGAGAATCCGCTAAGAAATGTCCGGGAATGTCAAGGCGCCTTTGCAGAGATAAGCAGTTGTCGCTATGAACCATGGTAAAGAAATGGTGAAAAAGTTTGAAGGTGGGCACTACGTTATGCTGCCGACACTTAAGTTTGAAGAGAATATGGATAAGGAAAACAGAGGGGGACAGGCGCCCAAGCGAACATCGGCATAACTCTAGGATTCCTTCGAGGATGGAATCTAACGGAAATCGCAAGCCAAATCGAAAGTATTCCCGATAGATACCAAGCCAATTGGGGCTGACCACCCCAATCCTTGCCACGCGTGGCGCAGCTGAAAAAGACCAGGCGCGTGGAAGTTGCATAGACACAACCAGGTTCTCCAATTCGAGTGCCTTGACGGTCGACACCTGCAACGGCCCGGCCTTTGCGATGGACATATGGCATATCTCAAGGGGCGCTTCCCCTATTGGCCAGGTGTCGGCCCAATTTATTATTTTCACAGAATCCGAGGCGCCTGAGTCGGTCGATAGAGGGGATGTCTCCAACTCGGACGATTCAGGAGGTCCAGGCGCATGGCCTATAACGCGGATGCAAATGGGGCATAGTCAATTCTTCTATCCTAGATGACTAAGGGCGCACAAAAAAAAACGGAAGGAATAGTCGTAGTAGGCGAAACTCACTTGGTTTTGCTTGGGAGTGCGGATCCAGTGACTAAGGGGGGGGGGGTGCTTAGTCACTTGACTAAGCCCCTCCCAGCCCTTAGATCTGGACACATCAATCTGATGGTTAAAAAGTGGGAAGGGCTATTTAATTAATGACAGGGGTAGTTTGGGTATTATGGAAAATTACAAAGTATACAAACTGGATTTACAATCAGTACAAACCATACAAACATACGAACAGTACAAACTAGAGCGACAAAACATACAAACATTACAAACGTATGAACTGTACAAACAATACAAACTAGACCGACAAACAATACAAACCATACAAAAAGAAAAAACACCCGGGTTGACTTTGGAGGCTCCATCCCTATATAGAGGGGCTCCTTCCCAAAGTCAACCCGTGTGTTTTTTAGACATACAAACAGTACGAACATGGTGGACAAAAATGATAAACTATACCGACAATCCATACGAACTGAAAAAACACCCGGGTTGACTTTGGAGGCTTCATCCCTATATAGAGGGGCTCCTTCCCAAAGTCAACCCGGGTGTTTTTTAGACATACAAACAGTACGAACATGGTGGACAAAAATGACAAACTATACTGACAATCCATACGAACTGAAAAAACACCCGGGTTGACTTTGGAGGCTCCATCCCTATATAGAGGGGCTCATTCCCAAAGTCAACCCGTGTGTTTTTTAGACATAAAAAACATTACAAACATGGTTGACAAAAATGATAAACACGATACACAAAAATAACAAAGTTTACAAACATTATAAAAAAACCCGACAAACATTACAAAATAACAAAGCGTACAAACATTACAAAAAAAACCGAAAAAACATTACAAAATAACAAAGCGTACAAACATTACAAAATAAACCGACAAACAATACAAAGCATACTAACATTACAAAATCTCTCTCTCTCTCTCTCTCTCTCTCTCTGGGGAATTCCCCTGGAATAATGGCGGATGAGGGGAGAAGAATTCTCCTGCCCAGGAATTCCTTGTGGACGGAGGCGCGCAAAGGACGGACCGAAAAACGGACTGGCTTTATTTATTTATTTATTTTATAATTAAAAGTAAAAAATAAACATGCAATTACTACTGTGCCCTTCATTAAATTGGATTAATAGGAGCCCTTAGATTTTAATGAGGTTGAGTGATTGAGATTCACTTAGCCATATGACTAAGGGGACCCCCCTAGTCACCTGATCTTAGCCCTTTTGCTTGGCTGGGCGCTTTGGTTTGCTTGTGGGGCGCCTCGACCACCGCTGATTCGGTCGCAATAGATTTCCCACGAGAACTGCTGGGCGCCGCTAATGAAGAAGAGTCGCCGTCTTTGGTGGGCGCCGCTTTGCTACCACCAGGAGTCCACCCACCCGATTCTCTGTTGGGATCAGGGGAAAAATGCTTCTCCAAAATTTTAATTACATCCGGCGCCTGACTATCGACATGCGGAGCATCTCCAGAAGGGGCGCCCGGGCTAGGTAAGTTTGACATGATGCTTGTTTTCACGAGTTTCGAGAGGAAGGCGTTTGGACGATAGAAGGAGAAGGCGCGCGGGCGGTAGAAAGAGAAGGCGCCTGGCCGATAGAGAGAGAAGTGTAGAGAGAGAGGGGGAGAGCGAATGGTTGGAGTAGGTGGCGGCCGACTCCTTTTATAGGAGGAGGAATCCCAACTGTCAGGTATAGGGATGCGTGCCATCAGTCCCCTTAATCCTCCCGGTCCGTTCAAAATTCAAAATTTGAATTTTAACTCTTCCAAGACCGTTAAAAACCCAAAATTTGAATTTTGAATTTTGAATGCGGACGGCGAGGGGGCGGGTATAGGCGCATAAATGTAGGCCCCCCTATAGCCGAACGAGAGCACCTCAAGTCCAGTCTACCAAGCGCCTGGTCAATGAGAGATATGAGGGATGGTTGGTGGATGGGAGAGAAGTGTGGAATGAAGTTGGGCGCCTGTAGAGATAAGACGGGAAATAACTTTCGTCAGAGCGACAGCTCAGGCGTTATATATAGTTAGGCGCCCATTCTCAACCATGAGCGCCTAACTGGGGGACAATTGTTGGATAAATATGAGTAAGCCTATGGGGGACATGGGCTCAAGAGACTTAATTGGGCCCGGGCCTAATCAAGGGCATGGATGACAAAGTAAGAGTTGGACCCAAATTCGGAGGACCGGGCGCACAACGACAAAATAGACGCGGGGACCATGCTGCTATGAGGCCAAGAGGCTGAGAGCGTGCCACCTGGACATGTGGTCCTGCCAGGCGCCTGAGCGTCGGGGTCTGGGAGCTGCCACGTGTAGATGCCCGACCGTTGGACCGTACTAGGCATTTAATGATGCGCTGACGTGGAGCTGGAATCCAGGAGCCTGGTCGGGACCTCGTCGAGTATAAATAGTACTCGGTAGGTAGCATTTAAGCAGGTGGGCTTCTCTCACTAAAAAGCTTTCGGATTACTTCTCTCTCTATAAGCAGACTCTGGCCTGAGCGTCGGAGTGCTAACGGGCCACTCAAGCCCACTAGGCGTCTGTTGGTGCAGGATCTACGCTCCTGATTCCAAGTGCAACACGGGAGAGAGAAGAATCGAGGCCCGGGGTAACGCGGCATCAATAGATCTTCCTCAGGATCTCTTGCGAAAGTCATCAACTGCAACCCGCACTCTAAGCACCGGCGAACTGCATCCCACCATTATTGTACTGTCCCCTCATTTTATGTACCTGACGTCTGGCTTTCCACCCATAACGTTTACAGGCGTTTAGTGGGAATTAAAGCTCCCACTTAGAAGAATAATTTAAGGAGACATTAGTACTTAATTGTCGAATTAAGTCCCTTTGAAAAGTACAAGGCAAATGCCCGTACGTACTTAGTCCTGGAACAATGTCAGCTAGGTGCTGGCCACCCATGATATACCAAAACCAAAATTGTTTTATAGGAATACAATACCAAAACCAAATTGAGTTCTTAGAATCAACCACAACGTTTAATGGTACCATGATTTGACCATTTGCAGAGTAGAAATAAAATTCTCTGTGAACAATAAATCAAAATTCCTAGTTGACTAAATGCAGGAAAGAAAAAAGAAGAGTATACAAAGAATCTAACAGATCGTTTCGAGATACAACATGGATGTGGATGATGGAATTAGATGTTTGGGTCTTTTAGTTGACGACACTTAGAATTATTGGTTTACTTTTTTCGCTCAACTAATTATTCGTTTAATTACATTTTTAAACTCACAAAACACGAATTCAATTTCCTACTACAAGAAAGATATAATCCAAGTGAATTACCATAAAAGACCAACAACAAATGTAACTAGCAACTCATCCTACACTCCATATTAGTGGAGAGGAATTGAGGAAACCAAGATTCATGAACCTGCCAATTCTGGATGGAGACTCGTTCAACAGCAAAGCAAAACCCAATTCAACATACAAGTTAAAGCAACAGACCAAAAACGAATACATAGGTCATTCCATTCCCAATTAGACCAATGAAGGTTCAAAGTTTTTTTGCTCGAAGCTTTTTTTTTTTTCCTGGCTGCTAATTGTCCCCACGTGTATGAAACAGTTAGGCAGACACATTCCATTCCACTTTTCCAAATTCCAAACCAAACCGGTTGTTCGACTCTTTTGCCTTGATCTCTGACTTTGACTCTTTGTCTGTCTGTCTCTCCCGTATGCATTCACGCCATTTCCGCACGAGTCAAATGAAATGAACATTAGCATTCAAAACTGGCATGCAATTGCAACGTCCACCCTATAAAACCCAACAGATCCCCAACTGCCAACAGATAACCGAAGCAACAATCTTCTCATCATCCTCCCCTGCTTTCAAACAAAGAGCATCATCACCGTCTACAACATTAACAAATTCCAAATGGTAGCCATGAATTGCAGGTCGTTCAACAGCTTCATAATCGTTGCCAGTACACTGGTTGTTTATTTGAGCTGCGCTTCACGCCCATCAGAAGCAGCCCGCCCACTCAATCTCGATGGGCCTATAACCAAAGGAATGGAGGTTTTCCTCTTTGAGGAAGGAAGCGTAAAGGGCCTCGGAGGGATAAAAGCACACTCCGGCCCAAGCCCAGCCGAAGGGTACTCTCTGACCCTTGGGCTTGGAGGAATCAAACACTCTGGGCCGGCTCCAGGTCAAGGGAACCGTCATATCGATGGAGCTTCTCGCGTTGCGGTGCTAGGTGGGATCAAGAACTCTGCAGGTTCTGTTTCGTGGTGTTCTCCGTTCATCCAGTCCATCAAACATTCGGGTCCTGCTCCTGGCGGAGGGCATTGATTAATGACTAATGACTAAAATTCTTGTTTATCTAGCTAGTTATTAATTTGTTTCCATTTGTGGTAGTTTAATTTCTTCTTTTGTTTTGGATTATGCCTATCTGGTTTTATTCTTTAACCATATTTGTTTTGAGAAGTTATTCTTTCAACCTATTTTATTCTCATTGAATAATTTCCCCATATTTTTTCATCTGCAATTTCGTCTCACCATTGTGTAAACTTTATTGTGTTTCATCTTACATATATGGTTAATTCTCGTATGCATGAAAATCATCGAATTCTCTTATTCACCACGACTCAATGCTAGCGCCACACGACCATTGCATGGAATCTATATAAAAGAGTTACAAGCATAATATGCCTCTCTTCGTCCTAAGGGCTAAGCTCATATGATACAAGAACTTAAATGTAGTATTGCGGGAAAGCCATTGTCATTTATTGTGTCAAAATAAATATTTGGTTAAGGAAGCTTGAAGGAACAATTAAAGATCCAGCATAATCTTCTCCCAACAACTCGAGTTATTGGGAGCAACTGGTTTATGACATATTTTCAAGTTAAAGTCATCCATTCAAATTTTATATAGTCAAAAGGATTGATTTGGTTTAATTATTTCAAAATGAGACAATTGGATTAATTATTAAAACTCTCTACCAAAACCTTTAGAAAAATGGCATTCCGTTATAAGTACGAGTGTAAGACTACAAACTTAAATCACCACTTTTATTTATTTTAAGAAAGGTTAAATTACACGTTTGATCACTCAAATACAAAAATCTTTCACATTTGCCACCCGAATTACTTTTCTTTCATATTTGTCACTAACTTTACGATTCGTTTCACCGTTAGTCACAGACCGTCAGTCTCCGTCAGACTCCATTAATTCCGTAAGTTTTTTGATGACGCGGCAAACGGAACAGCTAACTGGACCGTTAAATAATGACATGTCAATTTTTTTTAAAATTAATTAGATAAAAATCAGGCCCCACCTACCCCTGCCTCGTCTTCTACGTTTTCCCATTGTCGGTCTCAGCGCCTTCCCCACCGTCGATCTCAACGTTTGTCTCGCAACCGGATTAGGGCCCGGCTCCCTGCTCTGCGCAAGCATCAACTGACCTTCCCACCGCCGCCGGATGTGGGGTAATTCCTTCTTGCTAGGGACCATTGACCATTCAATTCACCGAGTCGGCGACCTCGCAACTTCCCGTTCCTTCCTCGGACCAACTCTGATACGGCGTCGACGATAAGGGAGGCCAACTCTATTGTGCCCTCCACTGCAATCTGCGGCAGTGATCGTGATAATCTCCTCCAGTAAATGTTCTTCTCGAATTGGAATGGGATGTTCATCCTTGACAGTACCATACTACACTGATTCAATACCAAAGGTGGAGTCTTCATCTCCAACCACCATAGCTACTACTCTACTAGATTATTCATCCGCCTATATAATCATACACTCCTGTCCATTACACACCACTAAAAACTCAAATAACCATCTCTCAAAGCTCACTACTATACCCATTAATTCACCCCCACAATGAAGCTCCTAATCCCATCTCCTTTACAGTTACTGTTCATTGTCTCGTTGATGATGAACCATCACCTTTGTAGCGTCTCTTCTGACCCTGTCACCACGAAGAAGATCAAGAGCGGAAAGATGGTGTATGCATCTATGCACGAAGAAGTTAGCAGCAACAACATAGGAAGTCAGGTTCATCAACACTACTTTGTTGACAACTTCAGAAGCAGGGTTCTAACTACTGTAGATGGATCAGAGTCTATTCAGGCCATATCGTGATCCGGGTAACTACCAACTGTGACAGAGGCTGCAGGTTTCGCCGACGTGGTGCCACAGGATTGGTAGATTCGCTCCATTCCATTTGCCAAAAAGGATTTCCTTTCCTTTTCCGACTCGAACTATGTTATGATGCACCACCATCGCTCTTTCCTTATTTCCCCTACTTTAAAATGAGGCTTCCTTCCATCACCGATCACTCCATCAGTGTTCCTAAACACAGTAGTACGATAAGCTAGGGTTGCGAAGTAGAAGGGGAAAGAATGGGGATAGCAAGCCGAAAGTTGAATCGCCATCTCACTCTCCATACTCAATCCAAATGAATCGGGCTTTTACGACGGATTTGGTCCGAGGAAGGAATGGGAAGTTGGGAGGTCACCGACTCGGCGAACAAAAATGACCCTGCATCCGGCGGCGGTGGGGAGGTCATTTGATGCTTCAGCAGAGCAGGGAGTCGGGTCCCAATCCGGCTGGGAGAAGAACGCTGAGATTAACGGTGGGGAAGGCGAAGGAGACGAGATCAAGAAGTTCTACAATGGGTACCCGCAGGTAATAACCATCAACTTTCCAATCACATCGAGATCCCATTTGTCACTGTGAGCTTCAGAACAAGGTTCACCCTTGCTAGAGCTGCACGCCCTGGTTCAAATTGAGACTCAGTTCCATTGATTTTCGGTTGTAATAGTAGTAGGAGTAGAATAGTGGATTAAACATTACAGAGTCTGGTATCTTTCTTGTCCAGCATTGCATTCATCCTTCTCTCTGCTAGTGCGCCTCGATATATATCTCTTAGAACTGGCCCATATCTTCACAATGTTTGGCTCAAGGTTGACACTTCCCATCTCATTACTCTATGGTTGGTGGTTACTGTTAAGGTTCCAGTATAAGTCTTCCTTAAATTATTTACCCCTTTAATGCACAAAAGCATCAGTTCCTTTAATTTGTTGATTGACCAGGCGGTCTGCAGTAGCAACACTCTAATGATTTAATGAAATATGGGTACCCGTGGGTACCTGTTACCCGTTAAACCGTACGAGTTTGGGACATGGGATGGAGTTTTCTCTCCAGATGGGAATGGGTACCCGTTTCAAACGGGACGGGTACCCAGTCCCGTCTCGTTGCCCACCCCTAAATCCCTATACCGGAACCCAGAAAGCCTCACCTGTTTTTGTGCTTACTTTTCACTTTCGAATCACTCGTACAACCCCTTAGTGGCCTTAGATTGTCTTAGTCGAAAAGTCTGCTTATTCCTCCTGATCTTGGCTCTATATAAACAGTATTTCTGGAAATAGGCGTTTGGACCTTCCTTCTTTGATTTCCTTTTGAATTTGCCACCTTCCATCCTGGCAAACCAACAATTGATTCTGCGGGATTGATTCTCGTTTGAGTTGATTGCTGAGATGATATTGTGGTGTTGAACTCAACATCGACCTCAAACACGGCTCCAGTTCTCGTTAGTAACTCTATGGTTACTCACCATGAGTAACTAAATCTCAGCTTTCATATTTAAGTGGGCCCAGAAAAACTAGATCTAAAGATGGAAAATTAAAGACATTTTTATTTTTCCTTGTTTTCTTAACCGTCTCATATCTTCTTCGTTTTAACTCAGATTTCAATTGTTTTTTGCACAGATGAAACGAGTTCATTGTGCTCTAAAAATGAGATCCATTTTCAATATTTTTGTAGAAAAACAAAAAAATTTGTCTTTCGTTACCAACTGCATACCATATGGTATCTTCTTCGTTTTTAAGTCGTTTTTTAAAATTTTTGCATAGAAAGAACGAGTTCATCATGATCTATTGGATCTATAAATTTCTGGGTGAACAAAATACAAGACCAAAAAATACAACACAATACCACCATGGTATGTGGTGGTATCTTGTGGTACACATTGTTGAAAGTCGTAAATGATAGTTAGTATACTCCTACTATTATGTATTCAATCATCCTACAGTCTTGGTATATTCATACCACCATGGTAAGATTTTTCATACCATATGGTATGCTCTTATTTAATGCAGTTAATACCATATGGTATGTACTGGTAAAAAATGACTCAATTTTTTTTGTTCTAAAAATATATCAAAGTGGATATCATTTTGAAGAACACAATTAATATGATCTAACTGTGTAACAAAATTTAAATTTCGATTCAAAACGAGTGAGATATTGTCCGTTAAAGATTAAGAGGGAAAAATTATAGGCTTTCCGGGAGTGAAAAGGGGCGCTGATGTTGCGGATGGTGATTGGTTTATGCATGGTTACTCACCACAATGTTATGCATGGGAACTACTCCCCTCAAACACCGTGGTACATATTGATCTAGACATGGTCGCTGTTTATCTTTATTAATGTATTATTGTAAGGGATATACTAGTTTACTTATTTTGCTATGTCTATCGGAAATTGAGGTGATATGACTTGAATCGGATTATCTTACGTCAACTGAAAGTCACGGTGTATGGGCTCATACATGTTTGGGCTTCCTCTATGGAGCTGATCTGTAACCTTATTTTCCCCAGATTGGATTAGATCGATTAGGCCATATTAGAGAAGTACTATATATATACATACTTCTCATACTCCTCTGTAACATGTAATTTTATCAATTATAGTGAAACTTACTCTTTCCCGCCCTTGGACTAACTAAAACATGTTATATTAGTGAACAACGTAAATTTGTGTCTTCTTTTCATTTTTACCGATCGTTTTCTTTCTTATATTGTCGATTGCTCGATCCATGAGTGAAAGATAATGTGTCATGTTAGAATTACACTTCACATATGTAATTTCTTAGAAAATTCATCTCGTCAGATTATCAAAGGTTTGTAGAAATACCTGGAATCATGTCGGTTGATCGTCAGAGACTTGATGCGGAATATGAACGACGATCTTGATTTGGACGATACTCCTAGAGCACGATCCAGGAGGTTTCGTGACCTTCCTCAACCAAGCCTCTTTAGTTCCTCTTACGGGATTGTCTCTCATCTTCCTGATGGGGAGAAGATGGAGCTATGTATGGTCTTGGTGTATTGGGGCCCACAACCTTAAACTCTTTATATACTAGTTTCACATGGGCTCCCATAAAACCCAAGTGGACAAGTATTGGGTTTCCACCCATTTAGGCCCATGTCAATGCAAGACATCTTTGGGCTCCTGATTTGGATCACTTTCAATTAGCCCACATAACCAAATAGCTCATGTAATTGTAAAATATGTGGCCCATAACATTACAAGAAATAGAATTTCCTAACAATCTCCCACTTGGGCTGCATATTTTTCTTGAAACAATGATATCACAAAATTCTTTAGGCGTGCTGCATGCTATTTGTACTTAGACATCTCCTAAAACAATCTGGTTCACCTCATGTATCAATTATGGAACCAACGCGGCTTTAATCACGATATGTTAATGACTAAACCACCATGACCACCACACCAATACACTCAATGACATAGATCAAATATGGATGAGTAGCATGAAAATTACATGCAATGTGAACTTAAGCATGTCTATTTTCAACTGGTCCTACTTTAGTCCTTAGCGAGATCAACTGAAATTTCTTCATACAGCGTGACCACTGTATAACTGAAGGCACTTTAAATTCCAAAATAGACTCTAGAAAACCATTACTTTATTCTGCAGAATTGATTTAGTCATAATCTATTGAACTACTTAAATGACTCCCACTAAACCAAGGTACCTTTCGGAATACCACTCATGCGAGCAATATGCTCATGGAAAAAGTTTATGTGTCAAACCATTGGCTAATGGATAAGCTAGCATTAGTCATTTCCTTAATGTTCAATAGAAACTTGTCTATTTTGAACTTTATCTTTTAACCACCGGGAGCTTGATGTCAATATATTTGACTTTTGAAATCCGTGATAATGATAGCGTATCACTATCAAATCATTGTCACTGTTAACCTTTAGGATTTTCTACGGTGACATGCATGCCACCGTGACATGGACTTTTCGGTCGACCTAATCCAAAATGCGGTCGACCGGATTGACTAATTCATGTATGCGAGGTTCCGAGACGCGGTCAACCTCTTACATGATATGGTCGACCTCTTTGGTGGTCTAACAGAATGAAAGGTCGACCCAAATACCTCATAGGCCGACCCTTGTGCACCTAACAGGTCGACCGCATCATAAAGAGGTCGGCCGCCTTCACACCGTATCCGTATTGGATACGGATTCCAACACCAGAAAGGTTCCACAATTGGACAAGGAAACGAATTGGGTCGACCCATTCACGTCCTAAATCTCTATAAATATGAATATAAATCCCCTTCAACGCCACCAAGTCTGAATTAAGTTTTTTTCCGATTTAGGGACTTTGTGAAGAAGATCGTTGGCGGTTGTTGTTGTACGTGTTGGAATTGGTCGACCAGGTCTAAGGTGAGGTCTGCCTAATGTAGCATTCGCCGTCATCTTTTCTAATGCGTGATTTCCACCGTCTAATTTTATATATTGTTGCGTGAAGAATACCATTCGGTCGACCTTGACATCAACCAGGTCGACCTGACGAGACAATTCTTCAGATTTGAATTTCGGGCACAACACTTGGATTTCTGTACTTGCGAGGTAACGAAGATCAACCCAATTGGTCGACCTAATGTGTTTCAAGGTCGACCGTTTCTGTTTGTTTTGGTTATTCAACCTGAATGTCGACTTTGGCTTTGTTTGTATGATTATGTTGTGCTTGAAAAGGTCGACCGCGCCAGATATCTGGTCGACCTATCCTTTTTTCGATTTAATATTGAACTTAATTTTTGTTGTTAATTGTTATTTTCCTGCTGGATAGGTCGACCTAGGAAGAACAGAGGTCGACCTTAATGGTTGTGGTAGTCACTATTTGTCTTCCAGGTCGACCTAATAATTTGTCAGGTTGACAACGTCTTTGTTTTTTGGTCAATTGTAGAAATTTGTACTTGAATTATGATTTGAATTTTTATTTAATTTGTTTAGACGATGACGCATGATGAGAGACTGCATCAAGATTTGGGTGAAATCATGAAATTGTTGAAAGCCACACAAGAGAAGCTGGTGGTGTGTCAAACACAAGTCAATGACTTTCTGAATTCCATGCGTGATAGAGTGGAGCAATTGTCAGTTTGACTGACAGATATGACTGGGATGATGCATGACGGGTTTGAGAGGCTAGAAGGTGCTATCAAAGATATAAGTGCAGAACGAATGGAGAATGGAGGAAGAGATGGTACAGGAAAGAAATTTGACTTTGGTAAAGAGGAGGAAGACCATGATGACTCTGAAAATTGCTACCAGAGCATAGACGATTTATTGAAAGAGCACAATTTAAAGGTATCCAAGTATATTCATATGTGATTGAAGTTATTAGTATTACTATCATTATTGCTAATTTGTTTTGTTTATATGTTTGACAGAGTGAAACAACGAATGACAGCAAGGGTTCCTCTCCTAAGTACAAGAGACCTCGATATGAAAGTGACTCCTACACCACTCCACAGAAGGATCATTTTGTAAGAAAAGGATTATTTAGTGCTGATAGCGATGAAAATGAATCTAAGAGTCCTTTCGAAAATCACGGGGTAAGTTTACGTTACATATTCATCTATAATGTGTGTTTGTGTTCATATGTTACTTTAATTTTAACTATGATTTGTAGGTCATGAAAGTGGAGGGTCTAGAAGGATTCACCAAAAATCTTCAAAATCCAGTTGAAGACTTGTATTATGTTGTTACTAAAGAGAAGGTTGGGGACACGAATTGGGACAAGTAAGACGTTTTTTAGTACGTGTGGTCGACCGTTTAGGTCATGAGGTCGACCGTTTATCCAATAAGGTCGACCGGGACTGTGAACAGGTCGACCTATACGTTGCAAATCACAATTGACATTTATGTTATTTTGATTTTTGCAGTTTGACCGTTGTTGACTTTTTTTCTGAAAACGTGCAACGAAATTATTTGAGTTCGGTCATTAGCGAGAATAGTTGGGTTTGCTCATCAATAAGTACTATACTACTATGACTTTCGTATGAATTGTGCACTATTTATGTTACGATTTATGAGGATTTTGTGTTTGATTGTTGGATGGTAGGTAGTGGATTTGTGTGCAAGGGCACTCACAATGTCTGAAAAACATGATGTGAAAGAGCCAAATGTGTGGTATTTGCCAAATATGTTTTCGATACGAGCCGTAATGTCAAATTATTTGTCATAACCTAGTTATTTATATTGTACCATGTCAATTCATCTCAATTAAAACATGGTGCAGAAATTGGTACGCGCTAACATGAAGACCAGACAAATTCGTAACAAGATGATGAATGATGGCGTGGTGTATATGCCGAATGTTAGTGCATGCCAGAAGGTTAGTCAATGTCCCTATATCATTAAATTTCGAAAGTGCATTTGTTTGTATTCGCTGTTTATAACATATAGTGAGTGTTTCGTTGCTAGATATTTATACCAGTTCTTGACGATGAAGCACGTCATTGGTTTCTATATTTCGTCAATGTCCATCGAAAAACTGCATTTTTGCTTGACAGTCTACCTTCAACTAGTGAGGCGAA